AAACTCTCTCTGTGTCATCAGGAAAACTCCTGAGAGCTGCTTCTCTCCCTCTCTTTCCAGAATATGAGCACCCCCATGTCACCTCTCCTGCTAACCCTTCAGTCACCTGTGAGAAGAGAGACTTACAAATTTCCATTGCAGGCAAAGGTAACCCAGCCCACTTGATTTATGGTCTCCTCGAGCCAGGTCTTATAAGCTCTCGGAGATTTAGATCACACCCAAGATAGCTCAGCTACCTCAGATGGCATAAAATCAGCAGGATGGCTTCTGTGGTAGTGTTGGAAACAGAAAAGTTTTAATAAAAGGCAAAATAACAAAACTCTTTACAAAGAAAAACTGAGCCAGGTGCAAGAGGTTCTTGCCCCAGGTAAAACACCTCACAAAAGTGGTTGGTTTCTTTGTTGTCTTCTTTTTCTAGTGAATTGCTTAGGCTGGACTTTTTGGCTTCTGTCCAATTGGCTATCCTTAAGTTTGAGGTGAAGTCTCTCAAGTCCTATCAGGTGTCTTTTTACCTAATAGAGAAGAGAAACTTCTAGGCTTTTTTCTTTCTTAAGGAGACAAAGCACAGCTTTGTCACTCTATCAACAAGGAGCACATTCCTATGCCCACTTTTTTCAGGGCTTCTGATAAATTACAAGAGATCTTTCTGCTGAGCAAAAGCTCAGTGTTGGCAGAAGGAGCCTGCCTGGAGACCTGCCTGAGTTCCCTGACCCTAAACAGTGATGGGAGTTAGAAACCAAGCAGAAACTGCATCTTATGTGGGGTTGCATTATACCCAGGTGTTTTTGTTGTTTTTTTTTTTTTCACTTCAGTACAAGAAAGAGTCTGATTTTATTTGTCTAAATGACAAAAATTCTTGTGAACTGTCTTAGATGAAACTATTAGATGAAACTATTATTATTATTAGATGAAACTGTCTTAGATGGGAACTATTATTTCTAACTGTTTTGGGATTTTTTTAAACTACTGAGGCTTTATGCACAACTTTTACATGCAGAGGCAGTCTGTGTCTTTGCAAGCAAGGCTCAACTGCTTCAACAGCAACTCAGGGAAAGTGCAGTTTCATAAAGGGAGCAGACCATGAAAACATACCTTATTTAAAAAATAGTGATAACAACTATATGATAATGATGATAATAATAATAAAATAGTGATAAATAAATAAATATAGTAATAGTAATAAAGAGAAGTAGGAGCAGTAGTTTAGAAATGGAAACAGTGCTCCCTGACCACCAGATTCCAAAGGGAAGACAGACATCTGAGAGGAGGAGGGGGAGTTGACATTGCTGGGTTCAGCTCTCTGCATGCCTGGTTTCCATTATTAACTCCCCTTCAGATGAGCTTTTTCATTCTTACTCTCTTTTTATTGTTTTTACATCTGCAATACATTTATGGAGCTGTTGGTAAGCAAAGGTTTGCTGAGTTCCTGCCAATTATTAAAAAACCCAAACAAACTCCTTCTGTTTCCCTCGTTCTTGTTTCAGAAAAAGAAGCCCTCTGATGTGCCATTGACTGGAGAAATTTTGAAGGTAAGTGGTCTTAAATAGAAGATCTCTGTGTATGCTTATGTTTTGCATACATTAAGGAAATAAGTGGGGACAAAATACATTTTGAGAGCTGCTTCTCTCCCTCTCTTTCCAGGAAACGAGCAGCTCAAAGCCATCTCTCCTGTCACGTGTCCAGACGCCTACAAGAGCAGAGACTTCCCAACTTCCATTGGCAACAAAGGTGACCCAGTTCATTTATGCCAGGGCTTCTGATAAATTATGAGATCTTTCTGCTTAGCAGAAATCCAGCTCGGCTATTTGGCAGCTCTTGGAGTGTTTGAAAAATATTTACTCAAAAATGCACATGCCTATAACATGCCATTAACACAGTTTTGATGTCAGCAGATGTTTAGCTACATGCTAAGCTGCTTTGTCCTTTTATTCTAGGAATCCCACCCTGACGGATCTGCAGCACAGAAGCAGAGTAAGTAGAAATGCAAAGAAAACACAATTCTTTGTGTGCTGACAGGCAATTTTGTGTGTTATATGTAGCAGAGGCCATCAAGTGTTCACACTGGTTAAGCAGCATGATTTCCTCTGCTTTGCTGAACAGAGATGAATTTAGGAATGGCTTAAGAAACTGTAACCAATCATTACCTAGACCTCAAGGCAGCACTTCAGCAGAGGACAAGCAGTATTTAGTTAGGAAACTCCCATCTGGAGTGATGGAAAATCTTGGTGGCAGACCCCTCCCTAGAAGAAAGTGACTCTCTAATCTGGTGCTGAGAGACCACAGGGTAAAATATGCTACAAGGGAGGCATATAAAGGCAACCTTTTCATTTTTGCTTTCCAGAGCAGGCTAGCACAGCTTCAGAAACGTTGCCAAGTTCTCAGCCAAGAAAATCGTAAGTAACCAGACTCTGCTCTCATCTCTGCTGGGAAGTTACTTAAAAGAACCTGGAATGCACAAAAAATTGGGTTATTAGTAATTTCTTCTCAGAAAACATCATTGCAGGGAATTTTCACCAACAGAAAAATTGTTGTTTTATGATGGACTCACTAAATTGTTTAGGCTTGAAAAGGACTTGAAGATCATCAAGTCCTGTTGTTAATCCAGCAATGCCAAGTGCACTAAACCATGTCATGACTACAATGACTGTGATTAAAACCAAAACAAAATAAAAGTAAAGAAAAAAATCTTAAGTCTTCATGTAGCAGACTAAAGATTTTGTCATCTTTTATAATCTGTGGTGCTTAACATCTTGTCACACTTCGTACTTGTCAACCTGATAATGCATTAGGCTGACATAAATGCTAAGGGATACCAGCTGAATCTGATAATTCCTGCATATGGTTTTGATGCCTGGCAGGACAAGTAATGCTACAGCTACCTAAACTGTATAGATCTACTGATGACATTTTAAAGTTATTTTGTTGTAAAACTTTCTTCAATTGCCCAAGTAGAAGTTTTCAAAAAAGTGTTGTAGTTATTTTATTTAAAAAGAAACATAAAGAAACAAAGAAATATAGTATTTAGCATGGACTTTTTAAGAACCTTACTTTATATGCTAATAATATAGCTAGATGCAGAGTGGGATGAAGCCAAAATTTCTATACTTATGGGAATTGTGTATGTTTGTCTGGATGGGTGTGAGTTGGAGGTTTGATAATTTCCAAGCATTTTTTTATTCTGGTGCTTTGTACTTTGAGTATGGCAATGTCTTCCTCTGGCCTTCTCCCCTCTGCTCTCAGTGCCCAAACTCAGGGCTCAGTTTTAGTTTTGAATGCTGCCATGTCAGTGGAATAAGTAAGTAACCTTCCCCCCCGCTGCTTCCTAATTTTGTCACCTTGTGGCCTTGCAGAGTTTTCCAGTCCCAGCACAAGAGGGTGGCACCAGCACAGCCCAGCAACTCGGAGCCAGGGAGCACCAGGGACTGCCCCACCCCCTCAATCTGGGACATAAACCTCAGCTCCAGTGACAGTGAGGAGAGCCTTCCAAGGGTGCTGGACCTGCCACCACGTCAGGTGAGTACAGAGACCATGGAGAGGCTGCTTCCACAGCCCCTTTCCCACTGCAGTGTGGTGTCTTAGGAAGGAAGCAGATGTTGTACTCTGTTACCAAATTCTGCCTAGTTTGTTCTGGAAATACTGATTTGTAAGACCCCTCTCACTGCAATGAAAGCTTAGGTATTTGCACTGACTGGTTTATGAGTTTTATTCCTCACATATCCATCCATGGTGCTCAAGGAGCAAGTTAGTGCCTGTGGCCTGTTAGAGTCATTATTTCACAGGCCAAAGGTCAGACTTTATGACCTCTGGGCAAGAGTCCTGGGCTCTGGTGAGCTGTGCCAGGACAGAAAGAGTTAAAGAAGGCACCAGTCTTGAATACTTCTTTTCTCTTTTTTTGGCAGCCTGGGCCATCAACTGCTAAAAAGCGGTGCCTTGACAACCGGGTGACCCAGAAAAAGCAAGGAGCAGTGCCAAGAAAGGGTGTCAGGGAAATTGCCCGTGGGAATGGACATGAGGAGGGTGTGAAGCAGAAGCAGGGCATCAGCAGCAGCTCCTGCCAGCAGCACTCCAAGGCAAGGAAGCCTCCTCACAAGAGCTTTGGCCAAGTGGCCACGGATTTCCACAAGACCTTTGCCCAAGGGGCCAAGGACACTCACAAGATCTCTGGCCAAATGACCAAGCATTTTCACAAGACCTCTGGCCAAGTGGCTAAGGCTCCTCAGAAATCTCATGTTATGAGCACACACAGCTCTCTGAAGCCTCCTGTGCACACCAAGGAGCCATTGCGGGTATCAAAGATTGTGGGTGTCAAAAGGCCCAGCGAGCCCCTGGTGCATGACAAACCCAGGAAAGTCCTGAAGCTGGAGAGTAAGCCTGGTCCTTTGGAGGTCAGAGACCACTCCTCCAAAGGCAAGCTGAAAGTCCAAGAAGCAGAGAAACCAAAACCTGCTTTCAGAAGTGGCCTGACGCTGGGAGTGCAAAAACACTTTGAGAAGAGGAAGTGCCAGGACTCTGACAAGAGCTGTGCCCGCGTGCCCAAGGCTCCTGACCAGAGTTGGAGCCAAGTGGCCAAGGCTCGTCGTGAATCTGATGTTAGGCCCAAACACAGCTTTCTGAAGCCTCCTGTGTGCACCAAGGAGGCCTTGCTCAGGAATACTCTGGGTATCAAAAGGCCCAGTATGTCCTGGGCACACGATGAATCTGAGAGAGTCTGGAAGGCAGAGAGGAAGCCTGGTCTTTTGCAGGCCACAGACCAGTCTTGCAAGGACCAGCCCAAAGTCAAGAAAATAATGAAGCCAAAAGCCATCAAAAAAGACCTGAAGGTTCTGAGAAGAGAAGCACTTCAGAAGCTCTGTGAGAAGAGGAAGAACAAGGTCTCCCGCCAAGCCAATGCCAAAGGCTTTTTGGAGCCCAGGCTCCAGACACATGCTCAGGAACCCACTCAGGATGCCCTCATCCCCAGTGGCCACAGGCCCAAGGATTTGCACAAGGAGAAAGTGCCCTGGTCTCCTGGGGACAAGAGGTTGTTCTCGCCTGCAAGGGAGGCAGGCTTGAAGAGGAAAGCCATGATGAGTCCTGAGGAGTTCCCTGGAAAGAAGAAGGTGAGAGGGTCCGGGGGAGGTGGGTTTGGACAATGACCAAGGTGGTGTTTCGAAAACCCATGTGGAGTTCCTGATTCATAGGTTGGCAGTAGAGCCATGGTGCTTCTCCTCTAAAGGGAGTTCCAGTGTGTTATTTTTAATGTTTTCAACCAGAATCTATCAAACAGAGCTGTATTGGTCTGTACTTTACATGAACTTTTAAGACCTGAGTGAATTTTTCTCTCTGTTTATATTCTTCCTGCTAGAGGGAAGACAAGGGAGACACTCCCAGGAAGAAAAAGGAATGAGACAAAATGATTTCAGCTTTCAGCAAACAAAGGCTTCAATAAACTGAAGTGAGTATGCCGTGATGGGATGTCAGAAAGATGTGTAAATCTAAGTCTCTCTTCAGAAGGGTAGGATGAAGAACTGTATCTCCTGTCCAGACACTCAAGAGTTTGCTTCTGACATGGTGTGCCTTCTGCAACTACAGCTGCTGCAGATTGGCCTTTCCATGCTGGAAGATATTGTTGGTTGGGGGTTTATGTACAAATTATGAATGGGATGGGATTGTTGTGGAACATGTCTTGAGTTGTTTATTTTTTAGCATTAGTATTATTACATGGTTATGACAATGAGAAGATGTTAGTAGTTTGCATTTTTGGTAGCAAAGAGCTTAATGTTACAACTTGCTTTAAAAGTTTTTTGACCAATCACACAAAGCAAAAGCATATTGACAGTAGTTCTATCTAACTACTGTAAGTACAAGTATTTTTTGTTAAAATGATGTTTGCTTATTTTGAATGTAATACTTGTTTGTAAGCTTTAAAACACAATGCACAGAGCTCTATTATTAAGCTTAGGACTTCTTAATATCTTGCTAGATAAACTTTTCTGTAGCTCAGGGAGTTATTGAGAGAAGTGTTAATATACAGACTATTGTTTTATTTTTCCTTATTTTTCTACTTCTCATATAATCTTTCTGTTGATAAATCTTACAGCCATTGCTTAGCTCTAATTGTAGTTTTGTTGTCTCTGAGGTTTGCTTTTTGTAACTTTCCTAAAACTCTCTGATTTTAAGAATTTCCACAGAAGCTGCCAGTGCAGAAAGCAGCTCTGAAGGTGTAGGTGGGTAAGGGTAGGGAGCCTTTCCCTTCTGACATCCTCTGAAAGCACAGAGATGTTAGGGCTGATGATTGGCTGGGGGAAGGGATGTTCCAATTGCATTAGGAATGGAAGAACTTTAATTCTGAAATTCCTCCCTTTCCCTCAGGGAAAATGAGCAGCTGTCTTAGTCACATGCTGGCTTTTGGAGTGGGAAGGGTAGGAGGTAGTTTTGAGCAGAGAGGACTCTGGATCGCGTCAGGGCTGGTGCTGTGCTCTGTGTCAAATCGTCCTTGGTGCAGCATCAGCTGAGCCAGGGCAGAGCAGCTGGGGAGCCTGTGTGCAGTGAGCAGGGACCAAAGCATGGGGAAAGTGAGTGCTGAAAGAGGTGAGAGGGCTGTCCCATGCACAGCAGAGTCAGGCAAGAAGTGTAGTCTTACACCTGAGCCTTCTCACTGGGTTTAGCTTAATTTCCTGCTCTTCTGATGCTGCAGTGAGCTGGGATTCGCTGCTTGGTGTGTTCTTGGAAATTTTGTGAAGCTGACTAAAAATGGTGGAAATGAGCAGTCTTGAAACAAAGTTGAGAGCTATTTGGTGCTGCTTCTTGTTGCCAGAATTCCATGGACATCCTGATTTCAGATGATCAGAGATGTGCTAGGCCACTCTGTTATTGAATGTGAAAGTCTCTGCCAATTCAAACTCCTTCTTATTTGAAGCCTCTCACCTTTGAAAGTGTTGCCTTGTTGAGACAATGGCATGAATGGCAGGATGTAGCCAAGCTTTTAAGAAATGCCTACATTATATGTACATCATAGTCATGAATTTGCCTCTCTTGTCCAGAGCATCAGAAGATTAATTCCAAACTGAGAGGAAAAATGCACTGCTGTGACCACTGCCGGCTATGACTGATGCACAACGTGCACCAAGTTTGACCCAAATGAGACAATGACCCAAAAGAGACCCAGAACTGAGACGGACAACCTAGACCTGCCTGACGTGGATAACCCTGCCAGAAACCAGGATCCTTTGTTTGCCAGCACAGGAAAGTGGAGGAAGACCACAAGGAGGAATCCCAGGGCATCAACATCGGTATGCAGGAGAGCTGGTGGGAGTATTCCTGCAACCCTCACATGCTGTGTGATTCAGAAACATCCTGTCAGATGAGTGGCCATCTCTGACTGTAGGCAACTGCAGATAAAATGAGTGTATTTATAAAAAGGAGCAGGTTTATAAAAAGAAATTGTGGTTTACTTAAAAATAACCTGTGGGTGTGACCCCAACCTGGGCCTAAAGTTTTATATCATGTGGACAAAATTGTTGCATTTATGGGTTAAAAAATTAGATTTTACTGGCTCTTTATACAAATTTGGCTGTTTACTGATGGCTCAGGGTATAGGGTCTAGGGGGAGCAAGGGCTGTGCGTTAGCCTGCACACTATTATGAGTGTTAGGCCACACTGTGCATAGTGTATTAGCTGCCTTCTAATTACTTGCTTTTTCCCAATAATTTTCCTGCTTCCAGTGCTCACTGTGCTCCCAGCCATTAAGCAAGGAAACCTGCTGTTGAATTTCTCCGTGCTTGGGAAAAGTTTATTGGTACAAAGCACTGTGAGCTACCAGGTGAGAAGCCAAGGTTCCATTTCACTTATTGGAGGGATTGCTGGGAGAGAAGGCAAGAATGGGAGAGCCCGGTGCATAGACTATGCCTGGGAGAAATGAACATTTTCTCTGGAAATGTAGGAAAACTTGGCTTTGGAATTGCTTTAGGCATCTCTCTCTGACCAGCTTTCTCTCTGTGGTTTTTCAGGGATCAGCAGGGGATGAGAAGAATCCTCTTCCAGTGATTTCTCTGACACATGAAGACAAGACAAGAAGACCTGAAGTTAGAACAGTAAGTGTTTGTTTTACAGCCCTGCATGGAGTTTCTGAAGACACCAGACAGGGTTGGCCCTGCAGCCAGACTTCTGCTTCCTCACGAGCACTTCTTTTGGGAGCAAAGAGAGAGGGAGGGATGGGAGAGCTGCCCTTGGCTACAGCTGAACAGCACTTGAATTTTTGAATCCTTGCTGTGTCTTTAATCAGTATTGGCCAACAGAAATTCCTATAGCTGCTGATACATCTTTTCTTGCACATTTTAGTCATTACAAGTGTTGCATTGTCCTGTGGTGCAAGCAGTGGGGAATACTGAAAACTGTAACCTGCCATCCCATGGGGCCTTTGCAGTGTCATTTTCCATAAAACACCAAGTCTTATGGGCTTCTCTGGGCAAAGGGATGCATTGCCATGATCTGCTGGCAAACTTGCAAAAGAATATAAACATGATGTACCTGGCTGAGTGGCTGGGAGGCTGTAAAAATCCTCTCTAGAAAGAGGCAGCTGCTGAAAGTCAAAAAGTTTTGCAGGTCCTCTTGTAGTAAAGTCCCTGCAGTCATTGATTGTGTTCTGCCAGGTGTGCTTGTTGGATTAATCCAACCAAATATTTTCTCTTTCCCTCCTTTTGTTCCAGAGTTTTCTGCTGAACAAAGCCAAGTGACATGACCAAGAGCTGGCCTGACCTCATACACAGAATGAGACAGAATTGACAGTGACCCAGACTGGAACCAAGTGCCTTGATTGGTCTCCAGGATGTAAATAGTTCCAAGTTCTCCGTTCCATTGAAACTTTACAAAGAGTTTTGTTTTGGTTTTATTTATTGTTCAATGCAAAGCACCTGCATTGTTTTGTTTTAAATACATTTGTAAGTTCTTTTGGTTACTTTTGGAAAGCGTGTGGTTTTTGAAGGTAATGCTTTTCTAGCTTGCAAAAGAAGGGATGAGGCAGATACCTGCCTATGAAATGACCTAGTGCAATGAATTGTGCAATGAATTTACAGAATGGGCCCATGTCATGATGGTCTATAAATGTCTCTATTATGAATAACTGACAGGACCATTGTCCCACCTATTGCTGCCAAGGAAATCTGCACTCAGACTGTGTTACCAAGGGTCTTGCTCAGTTTCAGCCTTGTCAGACCCAAGTTTGGGTGGCACAATGACACCCAAAGTGTGGCTGGAAACAGCTCTGTCTGTCTCCTGTGCTGGAGGGATAGGACTGATGGGGGGGATTCCTCCTTGGGCTGCTTTTTGGCATTTGGTTTGGTGGAGATACAAAACTGCAACGGGTCCTTGAGATTGCTTGGACATTGTTGTGAGTCTGAGAGGCTCCAGGGAAAGGAATCTCTTCTGACAAAGGAGGAAATAAATGGCTGAATGGGGAACATAAGTCATATTTTTATTTGGATATTTGCCTGCAAGCACTGGTGGTCTCAGTGAGTGTCCAAGAGCAGAATTTGGTACCAAAGTAGGGTGTCCTTCCTGTGGGAGAGGACTCAGGCTCCCTCTCAGCCACACCCTAGGATAGGCCCAGTGACTTAGAAACCTGCCAAGGGAATCCAAAAGGGAAAAATGAGCTGTTTGCAAGCATTTCTCCCCTGCCATGCTAACAGTGGAGGCAGCATCCACAGCACCAGTGTGTTCAGTTCACACCCTTCTCTACCCAAAGATTTCCTGGGAATTATTCTTGCAGTATGGCTCAAGGAGCTATTTTTTCAGAGAAATCACACTTCTGTGAAAAAAAAAAGGAAAGCCCAAAACCCTTCAAGTATTTCAGTCACCTTTCAGTTGACTTTGGATCAATGTTATTTATCCAAGATATTTAGAATCAAGTTCAAAAACTGTTAAACAAGAAATTTTACTTGCATAAGTAGTTTCATTGTGCCTCAAACACAGATGAACAGGTTCCTTTTTACAGTCATATTCCCCCATCTACCTGCTCAAGTCACAGTATTGCAATATGAAAGCAAATTATTGGTAATGGTCATAAGACAGTCAATAAAACACAGACGCTTGATATCAGTGAGAGATTCTGGAATCTTGATTTATCACCTGCTAGTCCAGTGTGTTGACACCCTTGTCTACACAAAGATTTCCTGGTGTGTGACAGCAGCATCCGGCCATCCTCATACCCAATGGTGTGTCTGCCTTAGCCCTCTGCTGCTGTCACATGCCCTCCCTACCTCTGACACACCTGTGATAATGTGGAGGGAAGGATGGTATCCCAGAATAATTGTGATTACAAGAAACAATTATCTCCCTTTTCAACATCATTTTATGATGTAGGAACAGGTCTGCACAGATTTAGGAGTACCCCTTTTGTAAAATGCCTGTTTGTGGGGTTGAGGCTCAAGAAAATGAACAATAAATACCAGTGTCCTGGTTTAGGGCAAATTTGTTAAAGAATCTGCAAAGGAGGGCCCCTCCAAAAAGCAAAACCCACACGGCCCCTCCCCCCAACCGGTTCAGGAAAAAATTCCTCGGAGAGAGGTGGAAAGAACCTGTTTATTTGACAGGCACAGCACCCCCAGCACACAAAATGAACAATACCCGATGACACCGCTCTGAGAAAGATGGCAAAATCAGAAAGTCTCTTTCGGGGTGGTCGCTCTGTTCTCAGTCCCTCCGGCGCTGGGGCAGCTGCTGCAGCCGAACGGTGCAAACCCTCGGTGTTCCCAGTCCCAGTCCAGAGCAGGTTCAGATGGTCACAGAAAAGAAGAGGAGAAACAGTCCAGGAAGGGATGTGGACTGTTTAGCTAAACTAGCTAATAAGCAGAGGCCAAAGCAGAGCAGAAGCGAGAGCAGAAAGAGAGCAAGCAAAGCAGCAAGCCAAAAGCAAAAAGCGAAAACAGCCCTAAGTACTGCCCATCTCTGTGTCCCTGACAAGAGACACCCAAACAGAACTTTCACTCTTCAGAGCTGGTCTTAAAGGCACAGAACATATGAATGGGGATACAAGCATCATAACGTCACCCCAGGACACCAGCAAAATGCCCACATTTCCAAAAGGAGTTCCTGCAGAGAGTGCTCCTGCCTGGAGTCATTCTGCCTTCCGGCCCTGCAGGACCACTGGGATTAAGGCTGGGTCTTTCTGCATCTTCAAGGGATTGGCCTTTTATGTTCACTTTATTAAAATTCTTATCATTTCAGGGATAAGCTGCTCTAATGGGTGGAAGGAAGGTCCATATTCCCCCTCCCCATTTTGCCTATCAAACCTTATTTATTCCTTGTCCCTGGAGTTGTCCCTGCCCATAGCAGGAAGGTTGGAACTAAACCATCTTTAATGTCCCTTTCAACCCATGCCATTCTATGATTCTATGAAATAACAGAAAATTTTAAAAAATCCATTGTATTTCAACCTTGAGCCAGGTGAGGGGCCTGCAATAGGTTAGGAAAGATGCTCATTGTTTTCACTTGGGGCTATTCCAGGACATGAACAAGATGACTGTTTGTTCTAGTTTGAAAGCAAAACCAGTGAGAGACTCCAAGTCAGAAACACAATTTATTAGAAAAAGGGAAAAAAACTCAAAATACATGTAATAATGCAAAAGAAAAACCACTGACACAGTCAGAATACAACCTGACACCCTGCTAGTCAGGGTGGTGGTAACAGTCCAGATGAAATGGTGATCCCACAGAAAAGATCTGGTAGCTCATGTCCTCTGGAAATCAGTGGGTGTTTGTTCTTTCCTCTGCATGGGCACAGCAGACAAAATTACAAACACTTTTCTTTTTAATTTAATTAGAATAAAAAGGGTGAAGTGTAGCCATGATATTTTCTGAAATATCCTTTCCTTAGGATTTTTCCTGAGAAGCTGAGAGGACTCAGAAACAAAACGTAAACAATGATATTCTGCTGCTGTGGAATGGAATAGGTGGATCTGTGATTGGTCTCATGCAGTTGTTTCTAATTAATGGCCAATCACAGTCAGCTGGCTCAGACTCTCTGTCCAAGACACAAGCCTTTGTTATTCATTCTTTCTTTTGCTATTCTTAGCCAGCCTTCTCATGAAATCCTTTCTTCTATTCATTTAGTGTAGTTTTAATATAATATATATATAAAATAATAAATCAAGCCTTCTGAAACATGGAGTCAGATCCTCGTCTCTTCCCTCATCCTCAGACCCTGTGACCACTGTCACACAGCCGGTGTTCAAACAGGAGGGAAGTCTGCAGTCTTTCTGATAGAAGTGGACACGTTTTTGGTTTATATTTTAAAAAATACAAGTATCATATGCTTTGCCTTTTAAAACTTTCTGTTCTTAGCTGAGTATTTTAGCAGGATGTCAAAAGCAAAGAGTTTTGCCGTCCCAATGGCTCTATTAGGAATGAAATTCCATAGGGAAAGAGGAGTATTAAACAGTATTTGAAGGTGGGATAGTAAAACCACATGGACCACAATCCCCTTTGAACATAAATAAATAAGGTGTGGGGGGTAGGGCCTTCTACCACCGTGGCTGCTCTGTCCCTCAGCATGGGATGGAGGGGAAATTCTTTTGTCATTACGGTCCCCTTGCCAGGACAGGTGTCAAATCACAACAGCTTTGTGTGCAGGCAGGTCCCTGCAGTTTGTCACCACAGTAACCCTGTATTTTTATTTCTTGTTATACTTTGTCGTCATTAGCACACTTCCAGCAATAGCGATTCTAAAACCAGCTCTGCACAAAATGTATTTATTTAGCTGTGGTGCCATCCAAGATTAACAATGTGGGACACCACCGTTCTGGGAACAGGCTGTTCCTTATAAACCTGCTTTGCAGTTTTCTTGCCAGTCCTTAGGGATACACCTCCAGAGCCCTGACAAGAGTGTTGGGGCGGGGGTGTACATTGAAATACAAATGAGATGCCTGTTTTAGGATCCTGTTCAGAGCTAGTACCATGTGACTTCCAGCTCCTCCCACACAGCAGAGGATCCCAGAGCTCGTGCTGTTACCTGATTTCCCTGCTGCTTCTCCCTTTGGTGCCTGGCATGTGCTCAGTGTGGTTCACATGCATGTGTCACCCACAGGCTGCACCCACGGGTGCCACACTTCCCTAGCAAGAAGAGAAGTGCATCAGCTGGCAACCTGCACTGCCAGGCTTCCTGGTTTCACAGCAGAGTGGTTTTGGTTTAGAAGGGGGCCTGGCCCGCAGCAGGGGCACCCGGCCCAGCCACTGTTTCCTCTTTTCAACCAGAAAAGAAGAGACTTCCCATGAGTTTTCCTTTTTTCACATGAGTGCTCACAGAGGTGTATCAGCTTTCTCTTTGCATCACTTCTGTGAGTGCCCCCCATGCAAAACCACTACACAGTCAGAGCCATTTGGTAAACTCAGGGCTTATGTTAGCCAGGACATCCATTTGGTCCCAGAGAGGAAACTTTTATCCCTCCTTTTCACACGTCAGAGTCAGGTGAAGAGCCACAAGGGTAACCACATCCTTGTGAGGAGGGCAGCAGGGTGGTGCAGCCCATGGCGGTAGTGCAGGATTCTCTCTGCTAAAAGAAGCTTCCTGTAGAGAAATGTTCACTGCAGAAACCAAAGAATACTCAATGCTGTTTCTCAGCACCAGCATGCTACAGACATACAACAAATGAGGTGCTTTGAAGTAAAAATGTTTTATTGCAATATTTCATTATTTACAGTACCATTCCCTTTGGGTGCAAAAAGTACACCAAAGTGCAAAGTTATTTTGGGCAGGAAAGCCAAATGATGGTAACTTAGCAGAAAAACACAACTGTGCCTCCTCACTCTGGCTGTCCTGCTTCCTCCAGGTCCTGAATACAGAGAAGTTTGCTGCTCTTCCTGGGCATTTAGAACAACCTGGCAATTGTGGAACTTTGGTCACAAAGGATTGTCAGTCTGTTCAAGGTGATGCAGGAACAGGAATCTGCAGTCTTTCCTGCAGGACTTCACTTGGGATTCAGGGTTTGTAATGGGGTAACAAGACATCTTTGTATGCAGGGCTGTTATGCTGCTATCTCAATTTTTGATAGAAGTACTGGTTTATTCCCAACTATCTTTCTTGCTGACTCACTTTGATTCATTTAAGGTTTTGAGGTTATTTATCTGCTCCCTTAAAAGAGCAAGTAACTCAAAAATGTTACCAGAGTTGCTACTGGATACTGAAATCAGTCGAGTCTTCCAGCATTGCACTGAAAAAGTTTTACAGAATACCACAAATTTTATTATGCATTTCCATTTTCAATAAAAATGGTGATTCAAAACACCACTGAAGCCTACATTTTTACACACTATCATCCCAAAATAGTACAAATTATACTGGTTACTTCAGGACCCCTCAACAGAAACTCTCCTTTGGAAAGGGGGTAGTAACTACCAATTTTATGGAAGACTAGAGAACGGCAGTATTCCAGTGGCTAAACTCAGGTCAAGAATCTTTCCAGCTTTCTAACAAGTTTATTAGCTTGAGAAAGTACTTGGAAAGACAGTTTTCAGACAGAATCCCTGCAATTTCCACTGCTGCCAGCATTCCCTTAGGAGATAAGCAGTGAACTTCTCTGCCTCAATTATCTCAGGGTACATCAGAGATGTCGTTACCTCTAAAACTAGAGACATCTTCTGTTACAAAGCTCTTGTACAACTGGGAAACATTTAAGACTCCATTCCAGAAAATAAGTTAAATGAAATGGCACTTGAGTCCTTGAGAGAACATGTAGCAGTAGCTGCTGCTGCTCTCCTTAGCACATGCCTGATTTACAGCTCAATATTGAGTCCTTGCAACAGCTGCCTCAAATGATTTTGAAATCGTAGCTTCTCAGAAATGGGATGATTGCAGTTCTTGGCAGGTTTCTTCTTGTGGGTCACACTTTTATTCCATGTTCTCACAGGCTTTTCTGTATCACTATTGATGGAAAGCCACCAAAAGCTTTATGTCGGATTCTCGGCTGTTTAGATGGTCTGGAAAGGCCCGGGGTGGCCTTGGGCAGCCCGCGCTCCAAAGGACGAGAAGGGACTTCAGATCTTTTCTCGGTCTCGGTGTTTATTAAATGCTTATCTAAAAGATTTTCTCTTGGCCTGACAGAGTTCTGCTCAGCTGTCAGCCATGGGCACACACTGAAAGCCCCTGGGGCGGTCACTTATCTTTATACTCGGAGTTACGTATACAATATTTATCATTTTTCTCCAATACCCTCTACCCTTATTAACCAGTGCACTTCTAGTAATAGCCAATCCCAAAGTGCCAACATCACCACAGAAGATGGAGGCCAAGAAGAAGAAGAAGAAGGACAGGACACGCCCCAATTCCTCCATCTTACTTCTTTAGACCCCCCTGTACAGAAATCTTAAACCCTGTGTCTCACACTCCAATTAACTTGTCCCTTCACCATTCACCCCAGTGAAATCCTCCTATCCTCATACTGATGTCGTCTCCCGTGTAGGATCAAAGTCCAGCCACCAGACATTTCTGGCAACATTCCAGAACTCTCGAGCCCCCCAGGGGTGGTCTCGGTCACTCTGCACCTCAGTCCTGAGAGGCTGAGATCCCACATCTCCCCCTTCTGTTTGCACCAAGAAGATCTCTTTCGCTATCCGAGCTAAAGTCTCCCATACATTTTGCCTTGGTTGACTAACAGGTAAATTTCCCCCATTGCTTACTGCAATGAATGAAAGAATGATGCACATAAGCATCATGAAACTCATTACTTCGCTTTTATGTGAAAATCCCCAAAGTCCTTAGTTTCTTTTTATTTCTCTTCCGGGTCGCTTTTCGCAGTCTGAGTCTCGACTTCTATCTGAGTACTCGTCTCTTTGTTTCTTGGATCAGCGTTCTCATGCTCTCGCGTTCGGAATGGCTTCACGTGCCGCGCCGACACCCACTTCAGACCTCGATCTGTGGAGATACAAGTGAAACCCTTGCCCCAAGTGATTAGTTTGAAAGGACCCTCTATTTGTCCTGTATCTGGGTTTCTGATCAAAACTAAACATTTTCCCTTAGCTTTGCCTGTGTGTTGTTTAGAAAATGTCTCACAATTGGTGGATTAGGTTCTGAGGATGAGCTATTTAGGAAATTCAGCACGTACAGTGCCTTATTTAATTTCATGTAAGGTGTTGCCTCTGGCTCACCCCTTCTCTGTCTGTCCAGAAGGGATTTCAGGGTGTGATGTGTTCTTTCAATGATCGCCTGACCTGTGGGTGAATGCGGAATACCAAACGTGTGTCTGACACCCCATCTCTTCAGGAATCTGTCAAGCACCCTGCCTGTATACGTTGGACCATTATCTGTTTTTATCTCCTGAGGCACACCTAATGCTGCAAATGCCTGCAGAAAACGTTGGCAAGCATGGTCTGCTGTTTCCCCAGCATGTGCTGAAGCAAAGACTGCACCTGAGAATGTATCTACAGAAACATGAACATTTTTGAGCCTCCCAAAAGATGGATATTTCGTGACATCAGCTTGCCACAATTGAAGACTTTGCAGCCCCCGCGGATTGATGGCCCCGGTAGAAGAAGGTGGCTGCACAAGCTGACAGTCTGGACAAGCACTAATGATCTCCCTCGCCTGACTCTTTGTGAGACGAAAGGACTCCATTAGCGCTTGCGCTTTCTGATGAAAGAACGCATGACTCAACCTTGCCTGCTCAAAAATGTCCGGCAGTGTTTGCAAAATGGGCATTGTCAACCTGTCCGCCCGAGCATTTCCTTCTGCTAAAAACCCCGGAAGTGTTGTGTGCGCTCTAATGTGTGTGATAAAATACTCTCTTTCCCTGCTCTCTAGCAGTGTTTTCAAGCTTGTCAGGTATGAGTATAAAACCTCATTACTGACTTCTTTCAAGAGCGAACCCTCCAATCTCTTGACCACACCCGCAACATATGCGGAATCTGTCACCAGATTGAGAGGCTGTTTGAACAACTGAAATGCTCAGACAACGGCTGACAACTCCACAATTTGTGGAGAGCCCTGAACCATCCTCACGTCTGATTCCCAATCCCCTGTCGTTGAGTCTCTCCATGTGATCACTGACTTGTGTGTCTTCCCTGAGCCATCCGTGAACACGGTGATCCCATCCAAAGGTTCTTCACTTATTCGTGGTTTTGCTCTATAGCATATTTGCGATTGCAGTATTCTATGCTGTGGAAAGTGGACTGTGCAAGTTCCTGGGAACGCTAACAATGCGATTAACAGGTCTTTCGATTGTTGCATCGCCCAATCGAAATAGTCTCGTTTCAGACGTAATCTAATGACTGAGAATTCTCTTCCTGCCATTGTCAGCAACCTTGTTCTCGCCTTTATGATGATTTGTGCTGCCATCTCCAAATCTGTGAGAATCGTTTTTGCGGGCCTGTGTGGTAGGAAAATCCACTCTATGATTATCAAAGAGTCCTTTTGTGATTCATCCCATTGGAAGATCAAACCATGGAACTGCGTTTTCTTCCCCAGCACTGCCAACTGAAAAGGCAACGTTGCAACAAATCGATGTGCCTGCCTTTTCTGTATCGCGTTCGTGATTTTCTCCAACTCTTTTCTCGCTTCTGGCGTGAGTGTCCTGGGAGAACAAATGTCTGTGTCTCCTCTCAAGAGATCGAGCAGTGCTGGAATGTCGCTGTTTGTGATTCCCAAAACTGGTCTCATCCAGTTGATTTCTCCCAAAAGCTGTTGTAAATCATGCAAATTGCTGATCTTAGTGTTGATCTCCACTTTTTGAGGCCTTATGGTTTTCTCTGAAATTTTCCACCCTAGATATTTCCAAGGTGCAACCTCTTGAATCTTCGAAATGCTGATTTCCAGACCTGCCTTTTGCACCTCTGCAATCACACAGTCGCGAGCTTCTTGCAGCTCCTGTCGTGTTGATGCTGCAATGAGCAAATCATCCATGTAATGAATGATCTTCGCCTTCGGAAATTTCTTTCGTGCTGGTGCCAAAGCTCGCGCCACGTACCATTGACAGATCGTCGGAGAATTTTTGAGGCCTTGTGGAAGAACGACCCAATGGTACCGCTGCAGAGGCGTTTCCCTGTTGATACTCGGGACTGAAAAGGCAAATCTCGGAGCATCATCTGGATGGAGTGGGATACTGAAAAAACAATCCTTGAGGTCAATGACCACAAGCTGCCAATCTCTGGGAATCATTGAGACAGATGGAAGTCCCAGCTGAAGTGGTCCCATGTCTTCTATGACTTCGTTGATCTTCCTGAGATCGTGTAACAACCTCCATTTGCCCGATAGCTTTTTCTTGATGACAAACACCGGAGAATTCCAAGGGCTGTCTGTTGGCTTGATGTGTCCCTTCTGCAATTGTTCTTGGACCAGGTCTTTCAGAGTGCTCAATTTTTTCCGCTCAAGGGGCCACTGATCCACCCAAACTGGATCATCTGTTTTCCATGTCAGCTTCAGTGTGGCGAGTGCTGCAGTGACCCCTATTAAAAATCCACTTCGATCTTCGCGCCCCATTGTGCCAAAAGGTCCCGACCCCAGACTGTGATCGGCTTTTGGACGACAAAAGGACGAATGATCGCCGTCTTATCTCCTGGTCCCGTGACAACGACGGAATTCTCACTTTGCAGACACAGAGATGCTCCCCCGATGCCTGAGAGAGAGCCCAATGGCGCGACCAAGCTCCAATTGCGTGGCCAAGAGATGTACGATATTACTGTTACATCCGCCCCTGTGTCGAGCATACCTCTGATCGATATTGTCCTGTCCCCACATGTCAATTGGCACGTGAGCGTGGGTCGGTCTCGACCTATGTGCTTCACCCATGTTGTATGTACTTCAACATGCTCTTTCATAGGGAGACCTTCTTCGTCGAAGATTGACATGACCTCTCCAACTGCGTGTGGCGGCAATGCGAAGGCTCTCGCAACCACAGTATTTTCCGGTACAGTCAATGGTGGACGAAGCGCTCTTGCCAAAACTGTTAACTCTGTATTTTTGTCCGCTGAGACAACTGTTGGATAAACAATGAGTCCAAGAATACTGCACTTGTCTTGTCCAATTATCAAGAAATCTTGTTTCTTGTATGAGTCTCCGCGGATACCCGTTGGTATCTCCGCATGACTTTCATCTAGAAAGCATACTAGTTTTGAAGCTGCCAATGCACACTGTGCCCCTGGTGGGAGGAGGTCTGGGTCACTGTGGAATCGACTGAGGGTTTTGCTGAGGGTATCTGCTTGTCGCTCACTGATGACTGCCCTGTCTGTTCTTGTGACACCGCCAGCACTTGTGTCTGAGCGCGCTGGCGATTTCCCGCGCTGCGTTTCCCGTTTCGCGTATGCGGTAACGGATTTCCTTCCACATCTGTCCGGGAATAACATTCTTTCACAGAGTGTCTTCCTCTTCCGCACCGTGCACAAATTGGCCTTTCTGCTTTCTGTGCTGGTGTTGGTATATGTGTCCGTGGGCAATTCCTTTTCAGGTGCCCAAACTCCCCACATTTGTAGCACCGTCCTCCTTGGGGATTGTTCTTCTTCTGCATCGTTGCAAGAACTTTGTTGACGTTCTCGTTCTGTTGATGGAGTATTTTCTCGAACATCTTCTCCAATGTCTTGTCCTCTGGTTGCCCTTCTGAGTGTCCCTTTAGCTGTTCTTCCCATTCCTCTTTTAATTCATTCTTCACAATCGCTGCGACGTGCTGAGGTGTCCCCACCTTGCTGCATGCCTCCACCATCTCTGCCAAGGATGGCCGTCCTGGCATGGTGCTAATCACCCATTGACAATCCGGGCTGGCGTTGCCGAAAGCTAAACTCTCCAAGAGAGGCCTCTTCGCTTCTTCTATCGTCACCTGTCGATCCACGGCTTGCGTGAGTCGGTCGATGAACGACATGAATGGCTCTGCGGGACCTTGCCTGATGCAAGAGAACGGAACATCCGGAGCTCCTGTCGGTGTAATTTGTATGATTGCCAATCGCGCTGCTTCTTTGATGTCGTTTAACACTCTTCGTGGAAGCCGCGCTGCTTGTTCCCCTGGGTTGTCATCTGGAGGATCCCCTGCTAACTGCCCTTCTGTGAGGTTCGCATTTGGCCCACCTTGATATCTGTTCCGCAACTCAGCAAGATATTTTCTCCACCTTTTTTCCCAAATAAGATTCTGCGTGTCAGTGAGGATCATTGCCACAATACTTCGAATATCATATGGTGTGAGATCATACATAGTGAATGTCCCTCTTAGTAGCTGTTTGAAGTATTGTGAGTTCAGCCCAAAAGTTTGAGCCGCCTTCCCTAAGTCTTTGAGTGTCTCATGACCCATCCTTTCCCACCTTGGATTCTGTCCCTGGGCATCATATGTCACTGGCATTGTCAAATCTCCTGATCCCAGGAATAAATGCTTTTCCTTTGCCAACGCTTTTCTGATTCGCTTCCAATCCATCGTCTTCACCGGCTCTTGAAATTCCTCTTCTTGAGACCCCATTGGGATTTGCATGAATAATGGTGTTGTGGACGTCATCGGTGATTCATCGTGTCTCATTTTTCGCCTTGAGGTCTTTGGCCTTGCTCCTAAATCCGAAAAGGAAACTCGAGGATCCTGTTGATATTTCTTTTTTGCTGTATCAAATGAATGCAAGAAGCTTTTTGCTGCTTCTGCTGCTGACAGCATCCATGTCGGAACACCTTCCGATGCTGTGATCCTTATGACATCTTCTCCTTGTAGCTGTTCTTCATCTGAGCTTTCATCATCTTCATGAAATCCCGGAGTCGATGGATAATCCCTTTGTTGTGTTAACATTGTCTTCTTTGAAATGCTTTTCTTTTTATACATTGTTGGAAAAAATTGCTGCATTGTTGCAGTCTCGCCATGAGATGGCGCTGTGGCTCCGCCGAACCGATCCGGCATGTGCACTTTTGTCCTCCTGCCACTAGGTGGCGCTGTCACCGGCCTCCCTAGCTCGGATGACAGAGTGAGCTCAACTGCCCCATTTCCTCTTCCGGTCCGACGTGTCGGCGATCTCATTTGAGACCGTGTTTGCTTGGCTTTTAATTCAGCTGAAAATGGGGCTTGAACACCAAAACGTCTCCCTTGAAGGGAAGGGACTGGGACTCCGAGAGTTTCAACCAGAGGCACCGAGTCTGAAGAGGGTGTGGGGCCCCTAGCACGGCCCCTCCTCGCCCGAGACGTCACAGGAGATCGGGCCCGCCGCCACCCGCGCCCTACTCTCTGCGCGTGCGTGCTCTCCGAGCCGCTCCATGTCTCTCCCGAGCTGACGTCATCCTCTCCCACTCGTTCCACCCCCGAGGTCTCTTCCCCGAGGTCTGTCCCTGACTCTGTCTCCTCCTCCTCTGATGCTGTGTTCACTCCTCCCACCGGTGTGTACAGCCCGCCTCCCGCCGGCACCCGGGCCCGCCCCGTGATTCTGGCCGACCTCCGCACTGGGTCTGACGTCACAACCGCGCGCCTCCTGCGTCTCACTACGGTGGCCCTCTGGGGCTGTGCGGTTTCCCCCAATTCGCCGCCCGCATTTGCTGCCCCCGCGCTGGTATGTGACTCCCCCCCCGGGTTCTTGCGAGTTTTGCCCGCCGCGCGCGTCTCCTCGTCTTCACCCGCGCTGCCCGCCTGCACCGCCGCCGCCGCGCCGCCGCCTTGCTCTGCCGCCGCTGCGCCGCCGTGCCCTTCGTGAGAAAGCGCCCCCCCCGATCCCTTGTCTTCCCCCTGCTCCCCCCCTTCCGTTCCTGACTCCTCTATACTCTCTGGGGTTTCAGGACACTTTTGGGGTTTCTTGGGGTTTATGGGTTCTTGGACCGGGGGTTTTGATATTATTTCCTGCTCTCTTTTCTCGAGAGCCCTTTCCCCCTGGCTTCTTGAGGCCAGAGCTAATTTTTTCCCGGAGCTTTGCTTCCCCCCTCTTTCTGAGGGTGCCACAGCTTTTCGCTGTTTTTCCAGTCTTTTCGACTGCACTGAAATGCCTTCTAGCATAATTCTTGCCGGCGAGAGCAGCTTTAACGCTGTCTCATCTTTTTTCGTTGCTAAGAAATATAAATGTCTGTTAATTTCTTGCCAAAACCCCACTTCGAATAGCAGGCATGTTTCTGCAAGTGGGTAGTTGAGCCTTGCCCACAACAATAACTGTTTTAATTCTTTCTTTGGGATCCCTTCTGTATATGATTCGGCCACGCCTTGTAAGGCGGACAAGATTTCCCGTTGTTCCTGGGAGAGTGTGCCCCCCATATTCTTATTTTTGGCCTTCTTACCGAATTTGTCGTCAGAGCGGTCCGAAGGCTTCCGATCTCCGTCCAGCGGGTCACGAGGGATGGGTCCAGAGGCGCCTTTCTGGTCCCGGTCCAGGCCGCTCTGCTACAAACTGTCTTCGGCAGAAGCTGAGAGATGGAATTCTCAGTGACTGCTGTTTTTTGCAGACTCTCCTGGCCGTTTTTTTTTTCTTCTTCTCTTCTCAGGAGTTATCAGTGTTCTCCTGGGAATTCGTCCTAGGTCGGAGCTGTCCTCTTGGCTCTTCAGCTCTTCAGGGCTTTTCCCCCCCCGAAAGGTTTGGTGGGAAGTAGCCCACGCAGCGAACGCCACTTGTCAGATTCTCGGCTGTTAAGATGGTCTGGAAAGGCCCTGGGTGGCCTTGGGCAGCCCGCGCTCCAAAGGACGAGAAGGGACTTCAGATCTTTTCTCGGTCTCGGTGTTTATTAATTGCTTATCTAAAAGATTTTCTCTTGGCCTGACAGAGTTCTGCTCAGCTGTCAGCCATGGGCACACACTGAGAGCCCCCTGGGCGGTCACTTATCTTTATACTCGGAGTTACGTATACAATATTTATCATTTTTCTCCAATACCCTCTACCCTTATTAACCAGTGCACTTCTAGTAATAGCCAATCCCAAAGTGCCAACATCACCACAGAAGATGGAGGCCAAGAAGAAGAAGAAGAAGGAGAGGGGCACGCCCCAATTCCTCCATCTTACTTCTTTAGACCCCCCTGTACAGAAATCTTAAACCCTGTGTCTCACACTCCAATTAACTTATCCCTTCACCATTAACCCCAGTGAAATCCTCCTATCCTCATACTGATGTCGTCTCCCGTGTAGGATCAAAGTCCAGCCACCAGACATTTCTGGCAACATTCCAGGACTCCCGAGCCCCTCAAGGGTGGTCTCGGTCACTCTGCACCTCAGTCCTGAGAGGCTGAGATCCCACAGCTTTACAGTTGCAGAAAATACCATTTTCACAAATAAAATATACTGGATTTATTCCTCAACCTACCATACAAAACACAGTGTTTAGAAGCTCTGTGGTGCCTCCCTTGCAGCATTCCTTTGGAATTTGGAGGTGGCAGAGCTCACATGCAATCCACAACGTTGCTGGATCCCTGGCCCATGTCCCGGATCTGGCTGCTGAGACAGGAGCACACGGCCACGCCTGCCCCTGCCCTGCAGTGCGACACCGAGCCCACGAGCTCCCACCTGCAGGGGAAAAAGAAAAATAAGTTCCTGCCCTTTCTGAGCAACCTGAAAGTATTTTCTGTGCCTGAAATTCTATTACACTGCCTAGCTCTTCACTCTGCACAATCAGTGCAAAATCAGACTGAAAGAAGTAGAAGAATAAAGATTGTTACTGAATGAAAGGGCGACAACAAGGATTAGAGAGGAGCAGAGGAAGGGGAGGTGCTTAAATATTTACAAGACTGCCCACGTGATATAAGCACCAGTCCTGCACTGATAGCCATGGATATGACTCAGTTATTACCAGGAAACAACAGCTAGGCTCCTCCTGCACACTGCTTCTATACTGCTATGTTTTCATACAGGCAGATTTCCTTGTCTTATTAAGACAAACAAAACATTTGAAATTACCTGTTCACTATGGGATCAAATGCTTCCACTGTATTCAGGTACACGTTGCCATTATGACCTCCAACTGCAAAAATTTTTCCCATCAGTGTTGCTATGCCAACACCACCCCTTGGAGTCGTGAGCTCTGCCACGTATTCCCATTTGTTACAGCGTGGGTCAAACCGCTCCACCGAGCTCAGGGGCGAGTTGTCATCAAACCCACCTGCAAACAACCACCACAGGGTCAGCTTCTGGCACTGCTGTGCAGGGAATATCCAAGACTGGCATTATCAGGTCATTCTCAGCATTTGGGGGCCCTGTCCGGCACTCTACTTACCAGAACTTTACAAGCTCCTAAAAATTAATCCAACAGCTCACGCTCTTCTCACTGCTCAAGCATCAGCTGAGCAATAACTTTCTTCTACTCAAGTAGCAAGGATTCTAATTTTATTATTTTTCCCTCTGAATTCATCATATTTATAATGAAACAGCTTCCCATTTGGAAGAGAAAGAAACCTAACACCAGTAAAAGGATGGTCTCAAACTTATTTTACTTCATGCAAAACATACTCTAGCAGTGTTCTCAAATTACAGCATTGGCAAATATTTGAGTAGGGGAAAAAATTTCATATAAGACTAAGTGATGCATTCCTCTTGCTGGGGAAGCTGGCAGAGAAGCATTTTGTTCAAATTCTATTTAAGCACTTACAATAATACACAAATCAGAGCTTTTTAAATTATCACTGTGGTACACCTACTTGGCATCTTCCTCTCTCAGGAAAGCAGGTAAATACAGCCAGCACACAAGACAAGAAGCTGTGGAGTAAGTGCAAAAAAGGTACTGCTGTCTACACTCAGATCACAACTGGAGTTATGTTTGAAAGCACGTGAATTCAAGAACCATTTCCTAAAAGAAAACTCAAGAATGGTGAGTCTTGAGAGGATTTTCTAATAAAGTTGTATTGTCCTGAACAGATCAGCCCTCCTGAAATGTGGGTTAGGAGCTGCTTTTCATTTCCTTGCTAATGTACCTTCGTTTAAGCATGACCTGGTTGTGCTTGCATTCTTCTCCTGCCTAAGAACACCAAGTACAGGTCAGCTCTATCTGTTCCCAGTCCCTCTAGCAACAACAGCCTCTTCCAAAGCCCAGCACTTGGCAGCAGCAGCAGCAGCACTACAAAATGCCACATCCCTACTCACCAACAACATACAAGCAGCCGTGGAGCTCACTAACACCGTTCCCAGCCCTTCGCTGACCCATCTCTTTCACTTCTATCCACTTATCCAAGTGGGGATCATATTTCTCCACACTGGAAAGAGATGCTACACCATCATTGCCACCCACGGCGTAAACATGGTTCTGGAAAACAGTTGTACAAAGATTATTTGTGATGTAGTTGCCTTTACTCAGCTTTTCATAAGCAGTGTTAAAATTATATGGAAATGTGGTATATCCATTTCATTTAAGAATTCCAACAACAGGTTTAATTATCTAACATAAATTCTATCTCTTCCAATGAAACAAGTGCAACAGTTTTGTAGTGTTGCAGCTATTTTTCAGAGCACGGGGGATTAAAGTAGAGCATGCATTTGGTACCTTTAAACATAATGACCATGACAATCCTGTCAGCTGAGTGAGATAGGAAGCACTATCCATATCATTAGAACAGTACTCCTCCCAGTACCTCAAAAACTGCTGAAACAGTTCAATTTGCTGTGAGTATTATCTCAAGTATCCTCACTTTTTGCACAGGATTTTGATGACTAGAAGTGCTCAGACCCACCAGCTGCATTTAGTTTCAGACCTTGTGCTCTGCCTGGTGCTGCAGCTTAGAAAAGCAGCGGGGCTGCCCAGCAGTGACTCACCACCAGCGCCACGGAGCCGACGCCCCCGCGGGGAGTGTTCATGGAGGCCACGGTGCTCCAGCAGTCCGAGTCGATGTCGTAGCGCTCCACGTCGCCGAAGCACGTGTTGTCATCCAGGCCCCCAATGGCATAAATGGGGCCGCCCAGGGATGCCAGGGCGATGCCTCTCCTAGGAAAGCACAGCAACAACACCTCAGTGCAAGGCCTCAGCCAGAGGGAGCCACACAGCCGCTGCTATGGTGCATGAATGGCACCTGCTTCAAACCAGGGGGAAAAGAGCAATGGAAATTTTAAAAGTGACGTTTACAGAAAATCATGTTGCTGACCCACTGCACACGTGTGTCCTTTTCACTGAACGTCAACTCTGAGGCCAAGCCCTCTGCTCACATATTTGGATACATGACAATGTCTTAGGTACGATTTCTCTATTTTATTAAGTCTGAAGATGAAGCAAAACCTACTGGGTTAACTTCGTTGCTATAGCTGGCTGCTATCATTTGAGAATGATTGGGGGTGATACTAATACACATTAAAAGGCAAACCTGTGCTGGATATTAAATAGCTGAACTCTAGCAAGATTTAATTGTGGTTTCTTCCATTCTGGTGTTTTTTAATTGAGTGTTAAAATGGTTGCCAGATTTTTTTCTAATAAATCTACTAATATTAGAGTACAATCAGTATTATAAAATTGAAAGTAGGTCTAGAATAAAAGCATTAAGTTTCTGCTTCAACCACCAAGTGAGGTGAACTACCATGTTACTGACAACATTGTTGTCTCATTAAAGAGGGAAGGTTCAGAGATACTGAGGCAGGAGCAAGGAAGGCACGATCCTTCTACAGAACAAACACTGTGGCGATATCCTGGCCCTACCTTTTGCCTCAGCAGGTAACACAGACACCACTTCATGGTGGCATTTTTCTCCACTAACTATTCCAAGCCTTCCATGAATGGGAGGAGTGGAGTTGGGAGGTAGCCAAGGCACAGCAGCCCTTTCATTTACCTGGGTACTCAATAATAAATGTCACAGAAATCTAGGGCTGATTGTTCCTGAGATTATGCCCTGGGGTAGAGGCAGGATGGAAGAAGTAGAGCAAGCCACTTCTAGGAGTCTGGGCCTTCTACTTTAACTAGGTCACAGCTACAAATAGCTTTCAGACTTAAGCCATAGTTATTATTTCACTCCTACTTGCACATGATGCTTTGAAAAACAAAAAACAACACAACAGAATGCAGAATTAGGGACATTGATTTCAATAACAGCAGAAAAAAAATACAGATCTGTGAGTCCAGTAACTCCTTGTAAGAAACTTAAATGTCAAGACAAAAAACAGTCCTCAATCTGACTTTCAGATTGCATGTTTCTGGCCTTTTGTGTGAAAAACATAGGCAGCTTTTTTTCCTGCTGTAGTATTTAACTTTTTTCATTTTCACTGTGCAGTATTTCACTTCTCATGTTATGCTGGCGGTTATCTCACTCATTCCTAAAATGAGCAAAAACTGCACAGAACCAATTCATTGGTTCCAAGTTGTTTACTGGGCACAGCAGAAAGGCCCTGGACACCAGAGTGTAAGCACAGCTTGCAGAAGATGTCCGTGGTCCAGAAGCCAGCTCCTCCTCCAAAAAAAGAGAAGGGTGATACATTCATAGCATAAAGCTCCAAAATAGGGGAAAGAAATTCCTATAAATCGAACAGTTTGGAAACACCAAAAAAAAGCAGGACAGACAGGATGTTTTTCAGCATCAGCAAGAAATGGTACACCACAGACTAGGACTTGGAGTGTGGGAAACATGTACCTCTTTGTGTTCATTGATGCCTTCATCATCCACTTGTTTGTGAGAGGATCAAATACTTCCATGCTTCCTAAGTGCTCATTTCCATCATGTCCACCTACTGCGTAGACTTTACCTGAACACACAGACATCTTTTAAAACAGACATTGCTTGGCAACATCTCGGTTTCATTTATATAATATCCCTGCCTATGTGGAGACCAAGAGGTCAAATAAAGGTTCAAGTTTTAAAATGTTTTCAGTATCAGAGTTTCATATGCTATATTTATAACCAGGAATCTATTCCAATGAGAACTTTTATACAAAGCTTGAGATTATGTAAACAAAAAACCTTCCCATAATTTAAGTACTGCAGGTCAAATCAGTTTGGACACATGTACCAGTCTCTCCAGATTTTATATGAAGAAAAATTATCTCTGTTCTGCTGCAGCAACAGAGGGGCTGCTAAGTACAAGAGAAAGCTGCATTATTGGTGCTAAGCTGCTCTGGACTGCACAGATCTGTTTTCAGAAGATGGAGACCCAAAAATGAAGCTAGGTCTGCTCTTGGAAGAGCTATGGTCTTAGTAACTTTCCAGGATGGATTTAAGCAGGAAGGGAGCTAGTATGAGTACTAGCAAATTCTGGGCGACTGCTGTGTAAGGCAATTTCTTTGTAAATGGATTTAAAAAATCATTTACTTAAGGCCAGAAGCTATATACAGCTCAGTTGGGCTTGGAGGAACCTTTAAAGGTCACCTAGTCCAGCCCCTCTGCAATGAGCAGGGACATTTTCATTTTCAGATTGTTTATAGCACTATCCAGTCTGACCTTGAGCACTTCCAGAGATGGGACATTTACCACCTCTCTGGGCAACCTGTTCCAGGTTTTCACCAACCTCACTGTAAAAAACTTCTGCTTGATATCTAGTTTAAATCTACGCTCTCTTAGTTTAAAACCATTACCTCTTGTCCTATTACAAGAGACCCCACTAAAAAGACTGTAAAGTACAGAAAGGCCACAATAAGGTCTCTTCCCAAGTCTGAACAGCCCTACTCTGTCAGTTCCCAGTAATGTTTTTCCCATAAGCACAGTCTCAGATTGGCTCTGGACCAAACATTCTTTCAAAGGGGGAGTAGCTTTACTAAACTGAAGACTATCCAACAATTAAACAATTAGTCTGCTTCTTGTACAGCTAGTAAAAAGCACCAACTCTGCAAAAGGAGCAAACAAGTCCCTTTTGCCTGGGGTTGCTTGAATAGGCTTACTGACCTCCCACAGAGATCACACCCACATGCCTCCTCCTGCTGTTCATTTCTGGGCCGAAGAACCAGCTGTTCTTACTGATGGAGTAACACTCAATGCTGCGGAAGGGGTCACCTGATCCACCTCTGCCTCCCACACAGAACAGCACACCTGGAGAACACAAAACAGGCTTACAGAGAACTAGCAGGAGGATGGGCAAAAACAATTGTACAGCAGAGCAAACTGAAATTATGTAGTTTGGGGGAAGCTGTACTTCACTTCAAGGAGCACAGTCATTGCACTTCATAACTGGGTACTGGATTTTGGCCTTTGCTTGACATACTACTATGGCAATTAGCTATCTATGCTCTTGTAAAAACAATGCCTATTTTAAATACACTTTTTGTGGTTTGGCTTAAGGAGGTAAATTGTTTGTTAAATATAATGATATAGAAATTATGATCTGCAGTCAATATTCATCACTCACTTTTGGTGTAAGTTAGCCAAAGAAGTTAGCTCAACCTTCAACACCAAAAGATAACTGTCCACTGTTTTCGGTACAGCTTTGAACAGATTGCCTGGTCATAACATACATATAACATACATAACAGCTCTAGCTTTAACAAAGATAGAGCTAATCCAGATAAATTATTAATGCTTAAAGAAAGAAAATGACTCCTAAAGTTCTGCTAGGAAAATGCAGCACATTACCAAAATACCAAAGAGGTACATAATGGCTTTCCCAATTTTGCATTAAGTCATTAACAACCCTCGATATCAAGCTAAACCTGCTTTGATATCAAGACACCTGCACAGATGTGCTGCTTTTTCTCCACACCACTCCCTAGTGGGTAACCAGACACACATTTAATTACCAGCAGTCTGCTTCCTTGGTGTTGTGCGAATGGAGTACTCAAAGTCAGGCACTGCCCTGCTGCTCAGGTGAAGGTGGTAGTTCCTTGCTTCATCCAGCAAATCCCTACATTTTAGATTCTGCTTGACAATCTCTTCCTTTGCCACAACACCCATAAGGAAAGAAATGGGCAAGAGAGGCAGCCGTACCTGACATAAAAATGAACACAGTTGGAGAAATGGCTGAGCTGCTGTCACCATGCAGGGCTGCACATGCAGCAGCCGGCAACTCCGGAGTGAGCCAGTCGGCAGCCCCATGCTTCTCAATAAGGAGAGCAGCTCTCAGAGTTGCTCCACACAACAGTGATATGAACACTTCTTTTTGGTGATAATGTTTGCTACAACCATTAGCATTTCAGCCACAGTAGAGAAGTGTCCCTTGGCTCAGCTGTGCTGAGGAAAGAGACGAGCTGCCGCCCATGCTGCACCTGCACCCGCCCAGTGTGATGCAGGCAGCACCTGCAGCTTTACCAGGGTTCTGTCAGATTAGTCCGCTGTTGGGTATGAATCTTCAGCTCACTGCCATGCCAGTATAAGAGGGCTTGTTCATTGGAAAATGGCTCATTTTCTTTGGGTGGCAAGTCAAAAAGGAAACACTTAGTCACCATGAACTAAGTGTCTATAAAGGAGGTATTGCTAGTGCAGTAACACCTTTCTTTAAGGCAGACTTGGAAGACTTTAAGCTTAAAAAAAAGTAATAAATATTGAGAAAGTAATAATTGAGAGTAATAAATATTACTTTAAAAAAGTAATAATTGTTTCCTTCTCTAAATCCTTCCTGCCATTTATTTTAGCAAACCTTTCATCCTTCTTTTTAAGACAAACAGTGCAGAATACAAAGTACAATCAGAGGCAAAGGTGGGACAGATGTTAGTGGGGGGAACTGAAGCAAATCTCCACCTGACCTCCTAAGGTTTGGAGTCAACACTGTCAAGCAGCTCTCAGGTGGCTCAAGAGCAATGGTGCAGATGTCCAGTACCTCCAGTGCTTCTCAGAGCAGCAGGATGGGGCTGTTACAGCACTGACAAGCATCTTTGTCTTGAAGCAGGCATGTGTCACTACCTGTTCTTCCTCACCTCCTTGCTTCCAGTCCCACTTTTTCCTTTATTTTGGCCCAGCTTATTTGAGGCAACTTTAAAGCACCACTGTAGCCCTGCTGACAGGCTCCTAAGGTTAGTGACATGGTAAGAACTCCAGGCTGTTAAATTCAGAACCTCATTATAACAGTGAAACCCATAAGGCTAAATATGACATATATAATCACTGTCTAGAAGCCCAGGCATGTCTTTTGCTGGCAGTAATGTCCAAGTCAACCAATGTCTCCATATGCTCTGGCAAACAGCCCATATTTACAAGAAGGGGTTTACTTTTTCTTGGCTTGAATCTAGTCTCTGCTTTCCATCAACAGAATACAACTGTTAATCTCATCTGCGAGCATAACTGGGCAATAAATATAAATTTCTTTTAAAAAATCTTTAATTGTATTGTCTGTAAGTTTCAGTACAGCATAATAAAGAAGGGGATTTTGTACCAAAAACCTCATGCTGGTCTAGATTAAACTGAAGGTTTTCGGAAGACAGCTAATAAACCATTGTGATCTTTCCCTAGGAAATGTGAAAAATGATTAATGAAGACAATGACAGCAGCATCTCAGTGGACCTCTCCTTACTCACATAATGCCATTACCAATTCAGCCAAATGCAAAATAATCAAGTTAGAGTTCAGAGACAACTAAAACTGCCCAGGCAATCCTACCTGCTAAGACACATGGAATGTTTTGCAGCACATGGTACGCAAATTTTTCCCAGTGCAGGCTCTTCACATCTGTCTCAAATACTGTGACACAACTTGATGTGACACATCTCTCTTAGTTTCCTTTCCCAGCCATGTAAGAAAACGTAACAGCTTTGCCTCCTTTCTTAAGTACAAATACATAACAGGAAGGACAGCGAGCATATCAGGCTGTAGGAGTGGCAAGCCAAGTGAAGTGATGGATTTATACTCTGTTTTGTGTCAGTATAAAACATTTCTGCTCAACCACAGATGTAGCTTTTTGTTGGTTCCCCACCTCCCAGCCATGAGCATAAACTGAGTACTCTTCCCCCTACAGAAGCAGGAGAATATCACTTCCCTCCAGTATTCAAGAACTCTAACTTGCTTCCACTGTCAACTCCCAACCCTGAATACCGGATGAGGCACCAAAACCTAAGAACATTTTCCCCTTGAGATCTACCCAAGTACAAAAAGGTGATTACACAACTAAACCAGTGATGACACAGAAACTTGGTGCCTTGGTCTGCCCTACCTGTGCAAGGATCTCATCCAGCCACGTAGCATGATGTTGTGGATTGGCCAGCAGCCACTTGATAGCAGCATTGTAAACTTGCTTTTCATTTTCAATATTCAGGTCACTGGAGGACAGGAGTTTATGGAGGTGCTGTGGTGACACACTCACAAAGTCCTCGCACTCCACCACTTCTGTGAAATGCTCACAAGCAAACTGATCGGCCATGTTCATCAGGTCGACACGGTTGTGGCTCTCGGCAAACACCCTGACTGCCAGGCAGTTGGAGGGGTGGAAGTGCAGCTTCATGTACTCACAGCAGGCCTTGGCCACCAGCTCTACCTGCAGGATGCAGGCGGCGTACAGCAGGGGCTGCACGTTGTCCACCGTCAGCGTGAGCCGCGAGGAGTACGCGAACTTCACCAGGTCCTCGATGGCATCGCCGTCAAAGTCCCTGATCTCAATCAGCTTCTGCTTGGCTTCAGCCATTTCCGAAAGAAACATGGCTCGGAAGTACGGGATAACGCAAGCCAGCACCAGTTTGTGGCAGGAGATTAGCTTTGAACCAACCTGAAAGAGAAAAGAACAAAAAACCCTCAATGCTTTACTGGAACGTCAGTTTTGGCGGTGAAAGCAGGAACAGTGAAACTGAAATAAGAATTCTGGACTCCATGTATTTTGTCCTCTCAAATTAACCCAATTTGTGCTGTATTTCTGACATTACATCCAAGTATCCCAAAAAATTCTAAGTTGTAGCTTGGCCATGAGAGTAGAGCAAAGCTGTAACTCAGGTAAGCAATAGCAGTGATGCACTGAACTTTCCTTTCTTTAAAAGCCTCATGAAATATCCTTAGAAATATTCTAGATGCATCCTGGGGACAGGAGAAGACTGCTAGACACTTATATGTACTCAGAGACTTTAAGGGGGGCAAATTAGAAAGGGACATTTTTAGACTACTTAATTTAGATTTCTGGACTTCTAGACTTCAACTACTGTTGAAGAACTGATGTTTATAGAAGCAAATTCATCTAAAAACACAGGAATAGCATGGAATAACAGCTGTTTCAGGGGTTATTGAAAGTTACCGATCACTTCAATATTTTTAGAATGTTTACCCAGAAAAGACAGTGTACTCCCCATAAAAAAAAAAGGTATTTCTCAAAATTCTGATCAGAAAATGTAAAATAAGCTGTTTGTGTACAAAATTCTGTAATTCCACTATGTTAAAAAAGAATCTAAGTATTGAAAATAAATGAACAATCTACTTCTTATATGTGTTCCAGGAGTGCTTTCTTACAGCCTTTGTCACTCTGCACTAACATAAAGGATAGCTGGCTGACATAAGCAACAAGTTTCCCTGACAGACTCAAATTTCATGTTCACTTCCAGACGAAGGCGTTACAGAGAGCTGTTGTGCATTTGAGAAAAGATGCTAAATTATAAAGGATATTTTGGTTTTTTTCTAGCTGTGATTCAATACTCACTTGCTCTTACCTTTTTAAAAAGCATGATCAACACAAGTGCAACCTACCCAGTGAGCAGTGAGCTGACTACAGAAAGCAAACGCACAAGAAAGAGTATGCAGATTAAAAAAGAGGAAAAGATGGATTCTTCAGTGTGAGATCACCCCAGAAAGAACAATTCAGACCGACCAAATGAACAAAAAGCAAACCACCAGGAGAAAAGCAGATGGTATTCATCTGCCATTCTTCACCTTCTAACAGCTTTCTAAGACTGTTCATCTGACAGCAGCAGGAGAGTAGGTGAAATTCCAGAATTTAACTTTTGGAGCAGAGGGAGTCTTCCGGAGTGCTCCCACAGCTTATCATTGTTACACCATCAGCACTCCAACTAACTACCACACTGATACAGAAAGATGCTACCAGTGGTCTGCTGTACCAGGGAAAGCTCTCAGGCCATTCTTACCTTCAGACACTTTAATTCTCCCCATCATCCCACTCTCTAAACCTTGCTTTTGAATTCAGTGGCTTTACTATGTTACCCAAATCTGCTTAATTTTAAATTATAGAATGGTTTGGGTTGGAAGAGACCTTAAAGGTTATCTCATTCTACCCCCTGCCAAGGGCAGGGAGACCTGATATAGCATGTTCTTGCTATCTGGAAATCAGAGTTCCCCTCCAGTTACTATCATATTTTAAGAGCAGCAGTTAAAACAATAATTGGTCTGACAAAAGCAACGCTAGAATTGCTCACTAACTCAGGTCACACACAAAAAAGCAGAAAGTTCAGTAGAGATCTGATTATTCTTACAACATGAGAGAGACCTGAGCACTATGGGAAGAAAAACTGCGCCCCCCTGAAAATTCTAATTTAAGTACACAGTTCACAGTTGCTTGGAAATCCCTCATTTGGGAAGCCATACAGTAAGATGTATGTCCACAGGTTGCTCTAGCCTTCACTAGAAGCCAAGTCATGTCACCTAACATTCTTAAGTTACCAAAACAGCTCCACACAGATCATACAGGTGAACATTAATACAAGTCTAACTTAGGGAAAGTTAAACTGCAGCCCCAGTAAAGTGTTTTTTCCAAGGCAAGTTTCCATAGCAGGAACATACATTGAACTCTACTTACAAAATAAGACTTTCTGCCTTTTTTTTTGCAAGGGTAGGTGGAAAGGAAGGAAGGTAAGAATGAGGTCAACAAGAAAAGGGATGAGGAGGGTTGATAACACCAGGGACCTGCATCTGTCAAACATTATCCCTGTTCATATCTAACAGTACAAGTAGCAGGCTAACAACTTCTCCTAAAGGCATGTGTCATTTGTTCTTGGTTTAGGAACTGTGCTTCATTCCTTAAATAATTATCTTGAACTAGTAAGTTGTTTAGCTAAGCAATACTTAATATTCAAAGGTGCTGACACCCACTTCTATGCATGCTAAATACAAGTTTATTGTAATCAAGATATAAGTAATATACAGCTGTGTTTAAAATAATGCCTTAAAGCAATGCTATGCAAGAATCATAAAATTTGCTTCATCCCTCTCTTTCTTTACTCTTTGATCAGCTGTAGAACACAACCATCTGGGTTTTTTTTCCTTCTTTATTGAAGAATGATGGAAGTTAGATTTGTTCCAGAAATCCTGTTTGCTGAGAAGAATCTAGCAATACAACACAAAATGCAGACATGGAGGTAAAATTGGGGATGAAAGTATATTGAGAAAAAAGAGGCTACAAGTAGCTGGAACTGCACAATAAATAGTGATCAACTGTGGTAACTTCTGAGAAGGCAAGTCGGATAAACTCAAAGTCATGTACTTCCACTCTCAGATTATCAATATTTTAGGTGTTTTCATTTCAGCTGTAAACTTCCTAAATAAGGAAAAAACCTCTAGAATCTCTAGAAATGTCTCAGATCCAAGAGGTATTCTGTGGTTTCCACACCCTTGCCAATATTCACAGCCAACTCCCAACACACCTATCTGCAGCTGAATCTTCAGACTGATACATGCAAAGGATATGTGGCAAGTATCACCTTCAGTGTAACATCACAGAGCTCTCCAGCTTCAAAGAAGTGAAGAAGAGAGCTGTGAAAATCCTTCCAAGCCTCGTTGGCCTCAAACACGAAGACATCCTCATCACTGATGGAAGGCTGAGTTTGCTGCTGCTGCTGCCACCTTTTTCCCTTTATCAGCTGTTGTTTTGACTGCTCAGGGACCATGGATTCTGAAGCCATTGGCTGTCACTGCATCAGTCTCCAAAAACTCCTGCCAAGATAAAGTCCAGCTCATCAGGAGTTAGGTCCTAAAATTCAGTTCTGTTCATCTTCCTGTTTAAAAAACACACAAAAAAAGAAAACGAGACATTAGGTAATGCTAGTACATAACACTTCAATTACATTATAATACTACCTATGGAAGGTTAGAGGTGAAGGGACCAAAAAAAGAGACCCACAGCTAAGAATCCTATGTAGGCACCTTTAGGAAAAGCCATTATTTATGAACTTGTTGTCCACACTTCTTGATAAAGACATGAAAAAAAAAGGTAAATATGTACCACAGAATCATACAATTGTTTGGGTTGGGAAGGAACTTAAAAGATTATACAGTTCCAACCTTCCATTAGACCAGGTTGCTCAGAGCCCCATCCACCCTGGCCTTGAACACTTCAGGGATGGGGTATCTGCAGTGTTTTTGGAAAACATTTTCCAGTGTCTCACCACTCTCACAACAAAGAACTTCTGCCTAACGTCTAATCTAAATCTCTCCTCTTTTCATTGGAACTGTTCCCATTTGTCCTATGACCACCTGCCTGTCTAAAAAGTAACTCTCCCTGTCTTTCATAAGCCACCTTTAATTGCTGGAAGGTTCTCCAGAGTATACTGAGAAGCATGTTCCTCTTACACAGACCACCTTTGGTTTCATGGCTTCCTACTTAATTTATGATGCATTCATTCTTCATTCTATGCTAAGAGTTGACTGCTGTTTTTCAGGGATTTCTGCTCGTGGACTCCGGTGTTGGAGGAAGTGGACTGGCCAAAAGAAGAAAAAATTCTTCTGCTATAAAAATTTAAGTCACATGTCTGGGAGCACAACTGATTTTTTTCCTTTGTGAGATTTTGGAAGTGTCCATGTCTCTTACTAAATGTATAGCTCTTCATGCATCAGTACTGGAGAAAAAGCAGGAAGTGACCTGAGGCAACTGCACTTGCTCCTGCTGTAGGTCACAGGGTTGCTGCTAGCAGCATCCTGTGTGGTGATAGAGCTGGTGGCTGCACTGGGCCAGGCAGGTTCAAGTGAGATCAAACATGCAATATTTGCCTGTGGTGCTTTAAGTGAGGTAGGTATTCTTCCTTTAAAAGATATTTAAGAGAAAGACCTTACTTCTCCCAAAACTACAAATTAGCTCAAAGATATTATTGGTCATGGGATCTTTACACATTTCATAGCAATGAATACTTTTTTCTGCTGAAAACCTAGCTTCATTAGACCAGATTTGACAAATTACTAAGGTATTTTTCTAGTTCATTGTGATATTTTGGTTCTCAAATTAATTCTCCATGACTGGTACTCATGTTTAAAATGCCCTTCAAAGAGGCCACTACAGCACTGAGATCTGAAGCTGACACAGAGCTTCAGACACAATCTCCTGAGGTTATAAAAATTAACACAAACAAACAAGAGGGAAAAGACTGACGTTGAAATGCTGTACAGAGATGCTGAAAGGCATCATTATTCATTCAACACTATAATGTAGGTAAAATACAGCACCTCTAGCCAACACTTGTAGGGAACTCATTCTTATTTTGGTCTTTGATGGACACTTTTGCTTCACCACTCCCTGCTCACTCACATCCAACCATTGCTACAGTGACTGAAGACACTGCTTTCAGACAGAACTGCCAGACTGCTAAATGAGAGTTCACAGCTCCCAAGCCATGAGGTTTTTCCATCTGACACAAATGCTACATTTACCTTCCTGCTTTAACTGCAGCTGCATGCAGACTTTGGTCATCTGTTCTGTGTCTCCAGGTAAAAAAGGCTGATGTGCACATTTTACCTATTCTGGATATGCCACTGTAAACACCAACATAAAACCCATGTTTAAGAAAGAAATCAGTGCTGTTGGGGTGAATTTCTTATGCTACAAATGAACTAAGCAATAGTACAAAAGCCAGACATAACTGATTTTAAGCAATGCTCTTCATCAATATCTCATGCTCATAGCAAAAAAAGGTCTTGGAGATGCTCTGAGCTCTTGCCTGTAAGAAAAGAACTTCAGTGCATACTTGGATTTATATATTTGATACATACTAAGTACCCACTTGATATCATAAAGGAAGAAACTAGAAATTACCCTAGAGGAAACCAATGGCATTACTCAGGCACACAGCCATAGATAAGAAAATCCCATCTATGAGAGAGTATTATGATATCAAATGTGTGTATGGGAACATGAGAACAAGTCAGTTACTGTTCCTCAGGTAAAGAGAGGTTTCTGCAACATGTTAAAAATTAACAAATGTAATATAACCTTCAGAAATGTTCAGACAGCAGTTGACTGACATACTGCAGCTTTTTTCTGATGAGACTTGGTGGCAGGTAGATTTTTATTCTTCCCCCAAGTCACCAATTCAGCATCTTGTTTCTGTCATACACCTAGGTCATGCAAATCTTTTTAGACATCTGTCCCCAAATCTTCCACTGGTCTTAATTACAGAAGCTCACAATTTGAGTGTTCAAACAAATCATCTGCTATGGAAAGTACCAGCTGTAGCCATACTTCATTTGCAAGAAAATACTGGCTTGGGCTCATCTTTAGCCATAAGCCTTTTCTGTTCTCAGCTTTCAAACAAAAAAGAAATTAATTTTAGTAGCACTTGACTCAAGATACTAAATTCTGAAAATCTGAAGATCACACCAAATTTATGAAGGTTAGTATATTTCAACTCCACAAACTAAGAGAAGAGCTTTTACAGATTTACTCCCCAAACCAACAGTAATTCAACAATAACATCCAACTACCTGAGGTTAGTTTCAACCTGGGTGAATGCCACACACACACAGAGTCTTTCCTTTCTAGAACAAGACACTGCCACGGCCATTCAGAACTTCAAAGCAACATCCCCTTTTTCACCTTGACAATTAAGTCTTCTGTATACATATTCTGATGACATTAAGGGCATAAGTGACCCTCACAGCAAGTGACTGATTCCAAGGAAACTAAAGGAAGTGCCTCATTCATAACATCATCTATCAATCCTTGTGAACAGCTACTTGACACTTTCCATGAAGAAGTAGCTGTCTCAATAAAAAAGAAAAACAAACAAAACAAGCAAATCTCACACATCTTTACAGCTCACCATCATTTGCTGAGAGCCAGTCAGCAATTTCCTTGTTCAAGTTAAATATTTAGAAGTTGATGATGTCTGCTATTCTCAAGAGGGCAGCTGCTCCAGACCCCAAAGTCTGAGCGCTGGCCCCCAGGCAAGGGACTGAGGATCTCCTCCTAGCTGCTCCTCTAACTTATAAAAGCAAGAAAGGATGGGAGCTCAGACCACAAAAAGCTATCTTACAACTGCTCTAATTCAGATAACATCTGAATTCTGTAACATGATTTTGATTCAGACATTCTAGCTAAATCTTAAACTGAAGTGTAAAATTTCTCAAGTCACACTGAGTACTTGTGTTCAGTAGAGATAAAATACCTCAATTTTGAAGCAAAAAGAAATTAAAACAATAGGCAGTGATAGGACAGGAATAACATCACTCTGTTTTCCCCCATTATGAAATTAAATCCCAGGAATCCTGGTGGACAAGCCAATTGTGATAGATGAGTAATACAATGACTGACTCTCACAATTAACAGACAAATATCATGTACACAGGTTAAAAAGTTTTATAGATTTATAGCTATATTTTACCCCCTCACGTGGTTATCAAGGGACAGCTGGATTTGGGACATCTGGCAGGGCTGGCTTGTCACTATGGCGACATCTGACCTCCAACCAGGATTTGAGGAAAAGATTTTCACCACTGGACAGTGAAGAACGGGTTGATGGACAGAACTTCAAGAGGGGTTAAAGGGTTAAAAAGGGGAAACCTCCCTTGTGAGGGGGCTGAGCACATGGCTGAGAAAATCTTTTGCTCCTGGCGTCGTAACCTTTTTTCTCTATTCAGCCTTTTGTTGTATTTTTATAAGGTTTCATAAACCTTCCTAAACCATGAGAAGGGAGTAGCTCTTTCTCACACAAGCTAGCCATTGGAGTACATGGCCTCCTTTCCCCTGTGGAGCACCTCCAGAGGCAGTGTCCCAGAAAGAAGGCATCATCCTTATTCTTTGTGTGACACATGGGAGGAAGGTCCTTCAGTGATATAAAACAAGCAAAACCATGACTGCTGCTGTAACAAAAATTAGGCAGTGTTCAGATAAGAGGTATTATGATTCCTGTAAATCCAACAGTGCTTATGATCAGTGGTACAGAAGCTGGAAAAAAGGTGGCAGAAGTGCAGGAAAAATAAAGATATAGATGAAGTTTCCCCAAATATCCTGTATGTAATTTTGACTACCTACCCCCAAGATGAACTAAAATTGCATCACCATCTGTGCAAAGAAGGGTGGTGAGCCTCCCTCAAAAACCAAAAAGGCCTTTTAATTGAAGGAAACAAGAAATTTGCCTTTGTATGTGTGGCTGTGTAGAACTAACTTGTCTAACAAAGAGCCTGGTGAGTCTCTGTGGGTAAGGAAATGCTCTCACTGCTGCCCACAAAATCAGAACAGCAGAGGCAGCAACAAGATCTCCCCCAGTTTAATCCAGCTAACAGAGAAATTGGAGTTGTTGCCTTGTGTGGGCTAAGAAAACTTGAATGTTTGGAGAGAGGACAGCTGGCAGAGCTAAGGAAGACCCCTCAGGGAGGGAGAGAAGTGGGAAGGGCAGGAGGCAGCTGCAGTGCAAACTGCAGACAAGCAGCAGCTTTGGCAGGGACTGTGCCCGCAGCTGTTTCACTGCCCAGGCTGGCCACAGCTGCACCTTCGAGAAGGAACATGGGGGAAAAGCTGATAATGATAAAATAGTGTAGCAAATCCTCAGTTCTCTCCCATTCTCCTTTCTCATCTTTAATTCTATTAAAAATGGTGTGGAAACATTATGCAAAACTGTTCAGATGCCCACACTAATTAGGTCAAATTAGACAAGGCTGGAAAACATGGGAACGTTCAAACTACAAACTGTATTACAACCCTAAGCCTACTGCACTTTTCAGCAGAAAGTTATTTAAGAAAGAAAAAACAAGTCAGAAACCACCCATCTAACTGGTTTAGCTTCTTTAAAACCA